GAAGTTGATTATTGTTCTTTCAAAGTCTGTGAAGAATTGTGTTGGGATTTTGATGGGGATTGCACTGAATCTATAGGTTGCTTTTGGTGGGATTGCCATTTTTACTATGTTGATCCTACCTATCAAAGAGCATGGGAGATATTTCCATTTTCTGGCACCTTCTTCAATTTTGTTTCTTCAAAGACTTAAAGTTCTTGTCGAATAGGTCTTTCATTTCTTTGGTTAGTGTTACTCCAAGATACTCTATGCTATTTGTGGCTATTGTGAAAAGTGATGTTTCTCTAATTTCCCTCTCAGCTTCTTGTCATTTGTATACAGGATGGCTATTGATTTTTTGAGGTGATCTTATATCCTGCCATATCACTGAAGGTATTTATCAGCTGTAGGGGTTCTCTGGTAGAGTTTTTGGGGTCACATATATAGACTATCATATCATCTACAAACAATGAAAATTTGATTTCTTCCTTTCCAATTTGAATCCCCTTAATCTTTTGTTGTCTTATTGCTACAGCCAGAATTTCAAGAACTATGTTGAAGAGATATTGAGATGGAGCTGGCATAACTGGACGTCAAGATGTAGAAAAATGAAAATAGATTCATATCTATCCCCATGCACAAAACTCAAGTCCAAATGGATTAAAGACCTCAATATAAATCTCACCACACTAAACCTGATATAAGATAAAGTGGAAAGTAGCCTTCAGTGCATGGGCACACAAGACCACTTCCTAAATATAACACCAGTAGCACAGACACTGAGAGCACCAATGAATAAGTGGTACCACTTGAAACTGAGAAGCTTCTGTAAAGCAAAGGACACAGTCAATAAGACAAAAAGACAGCCGACTAAATGGGAAAAGATCTTCACCAACCTCACATCAAAGAACTGATCTCCAAAGTATATAAAGAACTCAAGAAATTAGATATCAAAATTCTAAATAACCCAATTAAAAAATGACAAACAGAACTGAGCAGAGAATTCTCAACAGAAGAATTTCAAATGATTAAGACTTACTTAAGGACATGTTCAACATCCTTAGCCATCAGGTAAATGCAAATCAGAACAACTCTAAAGAAATATCTTACACCTTCCAGAATAGCTAAGATCAAAAATACCACTGATAGTTTATGCTGGAGAGAATGTGGAGTAAGGGGAACACTCATCCATTACTAGTGGGAATGCAAACTTATACAACCACTTTGGAAATCAGTATGGCAGTTTCTCAGAAAATTGGGAATCAACCTATCTCAGGATCCAGCAATACCACTCTTGGTCATATACCCAAAAGATGCTCAATCATACTACAAAGGCATTGTTCAACTATGTTCTTATCAGCATTATTTGTAATAGCCAATACCTGGAAACAACCCTCAACCAAAGAATGGATGAAGAAAATATGGCACATTTACACATTAGAGTACTACTCAGCCATAAAAAACAATGACATCTTAAATTTTACATGCAAATGAATAGAATTAGAAAACACTATCCTGAGTTAGGTAACCCAGACCCCCCAAAATGAATATGGTATGTGGATACTAGCTATAAACAAAGGACATTGACCCTACAGTTTATGATCCTAGAGAAGCTAAGTAATAAGTAAGGTGAGCCTGACAAAATTGGGAGCATGGGGGTGAGGGGAGAAAGGAGAATAGAAGGGGAAGAGGAGGGGAGAAGGGGAGGAGAGTAATGGTCTGTCCTATCCCTTTAAGAAAATATCTCTTCCCTCTCCCCCATCTGCTGAGGCAAGCAGATCTTCCTTCCACTTCAAGCCTGTGAGCTTCTTTTTTGCTCTCTCTCCTGAAGAGGTAGTTTTTCCTCTCTTCTCCCCCTCTCTCCCCTCTACCTCTCTCTCTCTTCATCCCCCTTCTTCCTTCCTCTCCCCTTTCCTCTTCCCTCCCATAACTCATTAAATAAATATCCAACCTCACTCTGCATGGTGTGCCTATCCATCTCTCTCACCTGCCAAGGCTTCTCGTGGGGCCAATTGACACACTGAGGTCTCTCAAGGAATGGTGCCATTTTATTTTTACCATTACAAGGGGTGAGGAGAACTTGAGAAAATGGGATAGTAGAGAAGGAGGGAGGACAGAGATGAGAGCAAAAAAAGAAATATCTTGATTGAAGAAGCCATTGTAGGGTTAGCAAAAAAACGTGGCTCTAGAGAAATTCTCAGGAATCCACAAGGATGACCCAAGCTAAGACACTAAGCAATAGAGGAGAGGGGGCCCAATCTTGACTTCCCCTGTAGTCAGACTGATGAGTATCATAAATATCACCATAGAACCTTCATCCAGCAACTGATGGAAACAGGCAGAGACCTGCATCAGAGCACTGGATAGAGCTCCCAAAGTCCAGTTGAAGAGAGGGAAAAATTAGAATATGAGCAAAGAGGTCAAGACCATGATGGGTACACCAACTGAAACAGTCTACCTAAGCTAATTGGGTCTCACCAACTACAGCCAACTTGAAGTTGGAGTGGGCCAAGGCTTGTACTGTTTCTGTCTCTTCCTCAGAGGGTTTTATCCATAGATAAAACACATGTTTTAGTGGCTGTACCCTGCTGCGTTACACACTACATAGTAAGAAGTAGGACCTCAGTTAACTGTGTGTGGATGAATAGGTGCTTCAGCTGCAGCACTCGACAGACTTACCCCCAAACTCCCCAGCACCCAAAAGAATCCCCAAAATTCTAACTTTGAACATTATTGGGGTAGCAAGATTGAAATAACAACCAACAAATGTTGCATACAAAAATCAGTACTTATTGTTTGACTGAATACATGATCAAGACAGTAATCATTTTCCTTGATATCAACAGTATTTGAGTATGGATAAAAAAATGTTTCTGAAACTAATATCTATGCATGGGAAAAATAAGATTTCACGCTACTACAGGACCAGTTTTCAAGATGAAAATAAATAATCTAAAACTATTAAAGAATTTTGGAAGCAATGAAGTATGTCAATGTCTCTGTCTTTGTACAGCCCTGGAAACTGTTTATGGAAGAAAACAATGTAAATGGATGATGATTGCATAAGACCTATTCAAGTCTCTGTGTAGAATTTTTTTAAAAAAATGTAAGAAAAACATTTTCTGATTGAAACAATCTGATTTTTATTTCACCAGTGACAGAAAGCTCTATGGGACACTAACAAAAACAATATAAGAGCATTTTGGCAGCTGTGCCAAAATATTTTCTTTTATATACAAAGTGTATTCCAGGTCTCTGGTTAGACTATGATATTTGAAATGAATGTAAGTGACCTCCACCCACCTATAGGAGTCAATTCCTAGGTTATTTTCAAATTTTATTCATAAATACTTCTCAGTTAATTGAGACCTTTTTATGATGTTAAGCAGAACCATACATATGTTTAAAAAGAATACACAAGAAAATATTAGAGGCCCTAAGATCAAATGAGCTTCATGGCTTCTCCTTTATTGGCTGCTTTTTCACTTCTCCTAATTGAACCATCACCATAACTGGCAAGGACTTTTGCAATAAAACAGCAGCCTCTAGGGACATTTTCATATTATAAAATCAGCATCCATAACATCAATATTCTGTGGGGCAGGGTATGTTTACTCTCATTGCCAAATATTACCATGAGAAGAATATAGTTCACCATGGTGGCTCTAAATGAAACACCTCTTTTTTTTAGCTATAAAATTTTGAAATGTTAAATTGAAACAAATACCCATATATCCAAATGCTACCTAAATAATGATGATACTATTTTAAGTTCATCCCAGAAGAAATGGTAATAACGCTATTCTGTAACCGCAGTGAACAACACAGCTCACAGAACAAACACTTCACCAGGCCCTGTGGGGGTGAAGGGCGAGAAGAGAAGGCAAAAACTGAGACCTACCGTTATAAATCTTGGCCTGAATGCAACATCCTTGCCAAAGGGAACTTGTAAAAATCACCAATTCTTGGCCCGCCTCTCAGAAGGATTAAGCAAAAAATTTTGTGTACAAGACTTGTTTAAACAAATTCTCCAAGAGAAGTCACTGCACAATGAAGTCTGAGAGCCATGAGGCTATCCGAGGATCCAGGTCTAGGTAACCCCTTACCTGTCCAACTAGAAGACACAATCCCGATTGTAAACCAGACTCGTGATCCAAACCTGGAGCACCTACACTGCATCCTCCACAGCCAAGCTAGATTTCACTATAATTCCCCGTCAGCAGCCTATGGGGAGCATCGAGCACGGCCGACCAGACGCGTTCATCTAGGTGCGGCACTCCAGAGGCTGAAAGCATTGACAAGAGGTCCGCCTTGATGAACTCTGCATAGCATATGACATTGGCTTTGACCGAGAGGATGGGGTAATCACAGGTCACCATGACAACATGGAGACAAATGAGAATGACAAAAGCAGAAAATGCTCTCACGGGCTATCTGTGACTGACATGTGGCAGCTGAACCTACTCCATCCTCTCAAAACTTGGATCATATTTGTTCTAAGAGCAACTCCCTGCTCCTGACGGAATGGGTGTTGCCGGCCCTGATCGCAGTACTTGAGCCGCACATATGACTGTCTCATAGGAGGCAGGCACTGAGGTTAGGATTAAATGTGTACTTAGGAAGCAGGATGAGCCGCAGCAAAGGGCAGGGAGTAAAATATCCTTCTTGCATGTTCAAGAGATGGAGGTGGAGTCCACACAGAAACATACTCCCAAAGCATAGTTTAAAAGCCAACAGAAAAATTAAATTCTTGCATCATCTTCAATATGGATAACAGCAGAAAATTTAATCTGAACATTCATTTAGAAGCAGATGACTCAATGGCCAGTGCTCAGACAACAATGAAAGCGAATTACGCAGAAGGTAGACTAGGTTATTAGAGAATTAACTATAGAATATAAAATCCAAAACGTATTATATGATTATCCAATCTCTAAAAGAAAAAAAAATGTTCCCTGATGGCTTCAATTGCCTGATTTGAAGCAACACAAAGCAATAAGCGTTCACAAGGCTCCGGGACTGACCTGGTTGTGCGGGAGAGCTCATTGTGGAGATCAGAGGGGCTGACGGCGGAGGGTGCAGAGTCACGGCTGGCTCTCTGCTGGCAATGGCTGTCCAAGTGACGGTGGCAGAGGAGAAACCTAGAGTGTAAGAAAAACCACACTGTGGAATCTACAGGTTACGTAAGTCATATGAAAACCAGAGAGCTGGCTGTAGATCTCAGCTCAGCGACAACTTACTGGGGTCCACGAGAGTCACATCATGTCCCTCAGCCCTCTAACTCTTCAGCAATAGAAGGGCATGTGTGAAATGGGGCAAAAGTTGAGTTCTGCAGTGTGTACCTAGTAGTGTGGGTCTCTGGGTTTGGTCCCCAGCACCGAAAAGGGGGAAAAACCAATGACCACCTGGCTTGCAGCACAGGGATTTTGTGACCATGGAGCCGTAGGAATAAGAGAAGCCAGTGAGTGAAGAAGCTCTTTATGTGGCTACAGCTGCCTTCCAACTTGCCATTTTGTGGCTGTTTCCATTCCTATAGAAATTGGAAATCAATTTTTGGAGGTCTGGATATAAATATCTCACTGCATAACATTTTTAGCTGTTATTGTCAAATATTTACTGGTAGGAACAGAACCAGTTGGTGGGGGGGGAAAGCTGAAGGCCTAAAAAAAAGCAACAAATGGGTCATAAACCATAGGAGTGACAAAAAAAAAAAAAAAGAACCATTACAGACTCCACTTCTTGAAATCTTCTGCAATCTTGTTCCTGCTAAAAGCAGTAAGAGCCACTCTCTCTAGGAGCCGCTAGCAGGATGGACTGGCTCTTGGAAGGGAATTTAAGGGGCTTTCTGCTCTGCGTCTGGATGCACTTAGAGGAAAAGCTATTCATTCCAAGGACATCTCCCTAACGGCTTACTGGAAAGGCAAACTTAAAAAAAATAGAAGACGAAAGAAAAGAAACTTTTAAGCTATCCTTAGCACGCATTTTACTAAACAGAGCTGACCTGCAGATACGGGCGCTCTGAGAAGCAGGTCTCTCTGCCTTCGGAAAACACGGCATATTTATGACACTCTTTCCCACCAGTATTTTCAAAGTGTTATTACTATTTTTGCATGGAAGTATAAAGCTGGCTATAAATACATATTTCTTTGAAGAAATATATAACAGCACCAAGAATACCACTAATGCTGTAAGATCTCCACATGGAAACCTGCGTTACTGAAGCAGTCTAGCGGGGCGGCGGGTCTCTGCAGACTGCTTCACACTCTTCAGGCTTTCGTAAGCACTTGAGACTTAATGACATTGAAAACAGGCATTTTGCTAAACCCTCTTTAAAAACCAGACCGGGTCCGCTCATTTTACCAGCACTATCGATAGGTTTATGATTTCTCTATCGGTAAGAATGCAGCATCTCTATGAATGGAAGGAAAAGGCAGAACAAAATCCCTCGCTTTTCATATAAGAAAATGTTCATCCTGACATTGGCACCTTAATAAAAAAGATCTCGGTGTCACACCCACTGCTCTGAGGTCACTGCACAGCTCTTCAGAATCACTAGCTGCACACAGACGGTGCGTCGTCATGTCTGAGCTATTGTTACAAGAACTAAACTAACAGTACTGTTGTCTCCGTCTCTGCTGACCACCCGTCAGTACCTTCCGCAGGCGAAAAACATCAACGTGTTTTCTGCTTCATAATTCAGTACAAATAAATAAAAGAGTAAATTCCACTAGGATTTTGATTTTTAGACAATTTTAAATCAACAAATATGGCTTCACAATTTCGGTTTTTCTTTTGTATTTTTAGAATGTATCCTGAACCTACCTTCCTGAGTCACAGAGAGTCTGAGTAGGAACTGTACACGGTCATCCTGAGTGAAGTAACCCGGACCCACAAAGACAAATGTCGCATGCTTTTTCTCCAGGTAGATGTTGGGTTTGAATCTCTGCATACATGTGTTTCGTATGAAATACCCACAAAGGTCAGGAAGCCAGGAGGAAACCATAGAGGGAAGGGCTTGCAAGGGATGAGACACATGTGCAGTGATCTAAGCACGGCAAGGGGAAAAGTGGATCAGAAGGGTTAAATACGGTGTGGGGTGCAGAGCAGAGCAAGGCGGGTGGGGAGGGATAACTAACAATAAAGGAATTCTGAAGACGTAATATGAAAACCTAATACTGTAGCAGCTCCTAAAAAGATCATATCTACATATACATACACATACACACATACGAGTTTAAATGCACCCCCTCTACAACAGGGGAGCATGACTCCTGCTAGAAAACACAGGCTAACAAATAAAAACACCAGTGCTGGAAACGAGATACCTCTTTTGGAGTTGTTGGCCAGTGGTGTCCCATAGGCCCCCACATATTATAAGCTATTAACTGTGCTCTAACCACCCCCCAGAACTTGAGTGTAAGACCGTGTTAACTGAAAGCATTACATAATTGGGTTACAGAATCAGAGAAATAAAGTAGGTGTTCACCTAGAAGCTTCCTGTCTAATGGTTAGCCTTCATGGTCTAGAAGGTACGATGAACGCTACTTATTGGAGGAGAGAAGTAGTTACCAGTCTTAGCCGTGAGCTCTGTGAGCTACAATAACAACTGGCCTGGCAAGACGTGTCCACTGGGACAATGGTGGCATTGATGTGGAAGGAACCACTTTCTAGATTTAAGGCCCACTCCAAAAGATAGAACCCATACCTGGCACCATTACTGGGGCCAAGAACCTGTTCCGAGATAGGTCATAGGCCCTAAAGAAAAACCTATTAGCACTATTCTGCAAAACAAACACAGCATTAGGCCAACCCCTAACAACTTACTGCCAGTTCCACAAATCAGTGAATCTCTCAACTCTTGTCAGAGACAGGTTTTCTTGCTGTAGAAGGCAATTAGTAAAGAGACACACAACCAGTCAAAGAGAAGAGAGCAAAAGACTTTGGAGTGCACATCCCTGAACAGGACGTCTATGCCACGCCCCTCCCTGTGAGACTCAAGGACCCAGATGAAGAGCCGAGGTGGAAGATGACGAGGAACTGGCCTCTGGATACAGCATGGCGGACGAAAGCCTGAGCTCACAGCAGTTGTGACAGCACACACAAGAACTGTGCGAGCTCAAGACAGACAGAATCCAAGCACGGAGCAGGGAGTGGGGATGAAGTCCTACCCAGAGCTGGGGAGCTGCCGGCAACAACTCATGGCTGCTGGGAGGTGGAGGGTCAGTTCTGTTAAATGGTCCATCAATCTCTTTCCAGGGCAGGCCTCGTACCCGACAGTGTTTGGACAGCACATGTCAGACTCAAATACTTATTCAGAAGAGGAGAGAGAGAGAGACTGAGAGAGAGAGACAGAGAGAGAGAGACAGAGAGAGAGAGACAGAGAGAGACAGAGAGAGAGAGAAGAAGGAGGAGGAGGAAGAAAAGGAGGAGGAGGAGGAGGAGGAGGAGGAGGAAGAAGAAGAAGAAGAAGAAGAAGAAGAAGAAGAAGAAGAAGAAGAAGAAGAAGAAGAAGAAGAAGAAGAAGAAGAAGAAGAAGAAGAAGAAGAAGAGGAGGAGAACATAAAGTTTGATGGGTAGGGAGGGAGGAAGAGGGGGGTGAGTGAGATAAACATGGTCAAAATACACTGTATAAAATTATCAACTAATTATTGAAAATACTGCTTTAAAAAACAACCGAAGCTGAGCACGTGGCCAAGGCCTGTCATTCCTGTTCTTGGGAGGGAGATCAAGAGGGCCACAAACTGAAGATAAACCTGAGCTACAGCAAGATTCTAGCTCAGAAGAAAAATTAAAAATAGGTAAATAAGTAAATGACTAACAAATATCAAGGATCAGGAAGCCTTCAGAGCCCGCAAACGAAGCAGTTCTCGTCATATAAAGGCAATCTGTCTTCCCCGCTCTTCAGGCTTTCGCTCTATGATATTCCTCTGTACAACTGATACCTCATGGACTTACATATACCTCAGCTCGCCAGATAACTTTCAACAGTTTAACCTTGGTACATCCATCACTCCTTTCCACAGAGAATATGCACAACGGTCATCTGCCCCAGGCTGATCTGTGGCCAGGCTGTAACCACTGGGTGTTGACTTCATAACTTGAGTACAGAGTGAATCTGGCATAGAAACAAGAATCTTGCTTTGGAATATCAATGTTTTTGAAATTTAAACAACTCTCTTTGACATTCAACCTTTTAAATAACTGCCTAATCATAACACATTTTCAAACCATTATAAGTGCATTATTATTTGAATAGTTTACCCGAAAACTAGGAGGCATTTCTGGGTTGCTATGCATTAGTTTCCACTTACTGCGCTTTCATTTCCAATACGCCACATTAAGCTGAAGTTATCGCTACAATTAGAGCCGCATGCTAGAATATAGTCATTTAAAGGGTTCTCCTGTGCTGCTTCAGGGAATATAGATCTATGTGTGTGCAGAGACGCAGGGTTGCTGCAATGATATGTGGCTGCCTCAGAGGCTGCAAAAGCCTTCTTCTCCTTGGGACCACAGAAGCAACAGGTTACCACAAGTCTGTACCTCTCTGTGTACTCAGTGTGTGCATGTGTGTGCATTTGTGTGCATACAGCTGTGACTGGGAGCCTGGCTAGACTGGCTTGCCCAGGAAGCTTCATGTAAGCTTTTGTCTCCATCACTGTGCCTGTGGGTGGTTGGTTGCTTGGTTTGTTTAATGTGGGTGCTGGGAACCCAATTGAAACTCTCAAGCTTGAACAGCAAGAACCTTACAAACTGAGCCATCTCTCCAGCTTCCAATCCACACTCTTTCAAGACCAAGTTGAAACGGAATTTTGCATGAATTAAGAACATTTTTATTTGCTTAGTAATACGAGAGTTCAAAGGTCAACATCTATCGATTAGAACAGGAAATTTACTCTCAACTCTTTCCACAAATCTTTACCCAAATGTAATGCAAAGCAACAGACAAGGGCAGGGAAGCTTTTCTCCTACCCTTTTGCCATTCATACGGTAAGAACAGATCATGAATAATGTAAAACTAGCCTTCAAATGGAGAGATAACCAAAATAGATAAAGACAACAGAACTTAAATGCAAAGTATCAGAACATATAATATATGACTTCGAGAAATAGCTTCAATTTAGTTTGAACGTTAGTCTGCAAA